AATCTTGGTTCCTTTCCCTCCCTCCCTCCCTCCCCCCTCCCCACATATAATATAGGCTTGTGCCATTGCCCTCCCCACGTGACCCTCAGGAGAGCCCTCGTGAAGCTGCTGCCGCCGCTGCTGCTGCCGCTGCCACCACCTCCTCCTCCTCCTCCTCCTCCTCTGCTGACCTGTGGAACTGTGCTGGGGGGAGGTGGAACAAAGGGAGCCACATACCGTGAGGAATACGGCACCCCTGCTCCCCATTCTGGTGTGTCCCCGAGGGTTCCCTCCCTCAAGGGAGGAAAAGGGCTCACCTGTCAACTGCTGGCGCCCCTCAGCCAGCCCTACTGTGCCAGCAGGCACCCAAGTCACTCCCTCCTCCTTCCCTCAGTCCCCACAGCCATTAAGAGATTTCCGATTTCTGCCTCGTTTCCAAAGCAGCCAATTGCCACTTGCTCGTTGGGCCTTGCTGGCAGCTGATTGGGTGCAGGGGACAGAGGGAGGCAGGAAAGAGGTCAGGGATATGCCCATGGCGATCATGTGACCTGGGCTGACCCTGGCAGCGCAGCAGCACAGCAGTGCCGAAGCAGCCACAAATTTCCCAAATTTCAATCCCATGGGAATAATGGGTCCAGGATTTTGGATGCATTCTGTAAGTTAGCCCATTTGAGGTACCGTGGTTCAAAAATTGTTGCCCTATAACACGCCATTTCACCTAGTTGAAGGTTACAGACATAGATGCCTGATGATCATCCTCAGTTTGAATAAGGTTATTTTCTTGTTCCCAGGAATTAGAAAGAGAAAATGAAGATTTAAAAGGAAGACTGAGGGAAATCCAGCAAGAACAACGAATCCTACTAGACAGAATAAATGGGCTGCAGTTGCAGCTGAACGAGGTAACAAGGCACAGTTCGTGGTGCCCTTGGAATCCAACTGTCGTGTCATGCTTAACATTTAGTTGAGATTACTTGTAGTGAGGATTGCTTGTATTTTATCAAGCTTCAATTCTAAGATTTTCCTTTCCTTTTTTTTTCTTTTTTGTCTCCCCACCCATTTCTGAACAACTGTTAGAATAAGGGTGATTACATTTTTTTCTACTCTTCTCTGGCTGAAGAGTCCCCTGTCAACATTAAGCCAGGCTTTTCGATGTGGGCTCCCTCTTGCTGGAATCTGGCACCACTTTCACCAGCACTGAAAGTAAAGCTGCAGCGGTGGTGGTTGTGCGCAAGGAGACACTGATTCTGTGCAGGCCAATCCAGCTTCGCTTCTGGAGATGGCATTTTTCTGGCTGCCTCACAGTCCAGTGGTGGTTATTTAGCAGTTGGGAGTGGGAGACGTTTCTGTGGCCACACCTGCCATCTGCAGTGTGCTTCTCATGATGATTAGACATGCGTAGCGCCTGCACAGGAGAGATGTATGCATTGATTTTCTCTGGTTTTCCATATTTGAACTGAATAGTCTAGACGTTCAAACGCTAATCTGCGTTTGGGGATCAAGCCAAATGTTGTTACCAAATACTTTGTCATTCTAGTTTTAATTAACTGTTGTGTCAGCACCGTGTTTTTAAAAAGAGGCTATGTTGGCATGGCATCCAGGAATCTCAAACTCAGTCAACTGATGCTCTTTATTATGCTTTCTCATGTGGAAGGAAGATCGTGCGGCAAATATAGTATCAGGAGAGGCTGATCCCATTCTCGCTTTCCCTCCCCCCTGCAACTTTTGCCTCAGGATCATCGCTTCTTTGAATTGTCAGAAAATTGGCCAGGGGTTGGGACAGAAAGGAGAGGGACTTTCTAGTTCTTGTGATTGTTTTTCTGTGGGTATGAATGCAAGGTAGAAGAATTCTGTTCAGATGATTTTTTTGGCCAAATCTAGGAGGATATATGAAATATAGAGGAAAAAAGTTCCCTTTGCCAGGTGAATTGTAGCCCTAGTCACTCATGAATGATGAAAGAAACAATAATTTCAAATACGATTGAATGCATGTTCTGTTCTGTTTTCAGGAGCAAATGGTTGCTGATGATCTTGAAACGGAGGTAAAAAAGAGATTCTTTCTATTGTTCACTCTCATTAACCTGAATGGAAAACGTTTCTTCATCTTCTTGGATAATTGCCTGACTGATTTAAAATCATAAAGGAGGGGTGGGTCTTTTAAAAATATTTTGGGCTGATTGTGATATCATGCCAGGATTCATGTAATGGCAGCATGTTTTAAGAATCAACTTTAGCCTGTCTGACTGCTGTACGCTGAGGAATGATGTGTGTATGTATCAAATCTATACAGGTGTTTTATCCCAGAAAGAGAAATAGATATTTCTGGCTTCCCATAGCAGTGATCTGTTGCTCTCTTCCAGAAAGATGAACTTAGGAGGCTTCTGGCCACAAAGGAAAAGCAGCAGGAGGAGAGCATGCGAATGCTTGAAGCTCTGAAGTCAAAGCTGAGGTTCCACGAGGTGCGTCCCTTAATTTGGAAGGCAGCCTGTTGTGTGTATGTGTGAAATAACTGGGTGAGAGAGTCACAGTATATAAGGGTTGGAAGGGATCCTGGAGATCATCTAGCCTGATCCTCTGCAGGGATCCACAATTACAGCATCCCCAACGGATACCCTGGCTTTAAATACTTGCAGCGAAGGAGTAAATCTGCTTCTTGTATTTTAAACCCATTGTTTCTTGCCCATTTTCTGGAATGACTGAACAATTCTGCCCAGTTGTCTACATGGCAGCCCTTCAGATACTTTGGGGAAACTATCATGTCTTTCCACAGTCTTCTCTTGTCCAGGCTAAATGTACCCAATGCTTTCCCCTGTTCCTCATCAGTTTTCCTTCCAGGCCCCTTAGCATCTTAGCTGCTCTCCTCCAGACATGCTCCAGTTTGCAGAGCATGCCTGAAATGCAGAGCCCAGAACTGGATATAACAGCCCAGTTCTGGTCTGACCAGTGCAGAACAGAGTGAAGCTGTGATTTCTCTTGACCTAGTTAAAGAGCTCGGTCCATGTGCTGCTACCTCATGCGTGCATTTTGTCGATAGGAACGAAGCTTCCATACATTTTACAAGACCTCGAATTTGTATTTTATCATTGGTAATTCTGAATGAATTTTAAAATAGGAAGTCTCATTTAAAACTCCTGATTGGTAGCCTGTGTGAAACCCATATCTATTTTTTGTTATTTCAGGGTGATCATGCAGGATCTGGAAGCAGCCTCAGTAACAGTAGGTAGTTCTTGATAACTTGTTCAGCATGACAGTCACATAGTACAGCTCCTCTGCCGAGGCATTCTTTCTGTGCAGCTTTGCAGTTGCTTGTTTGTGTAGCCTGTGGTTACCTTCCTTGTGTTTGTCTTCTTGTAAGCAGATTAGTTCCTAGCAGACTTTCTATGGGCATGGGATTATACCTGGTGCTACCCCTTTTATCCCCTCCAAAAATAACGAACACAGTTTTCATGTGACATCAGACAAAATTAACATTTACTCACGCAAAGTAGTTTTTTTTCAGAAACAGCAGTTACAGTAGCAACAATAAAACGGCATATTTAAAGTATTAAGTAAATTAGAAAATTAGGCCATAATTAGTCTCTGAGCTGAATAGCTCAGACATGTGCTTTCGCCTTGAGAGCATGGTGGAGGAGGAAACGGAAGTGACCTCAAAGAGTCTCCACCTCCTTCCATGTGCCTATCTGCGAATACAGGAGCTGTGAGTTTTTGACTGCATTATCCTACACTTTCTTCCAAAACAACGTATGTTTCTTTCTGTAGGCAGGCAGTGGAATGAAGTTGGGGAGATGTGGGTTTGGTAGGCTACCCAGTGGGATCCAAGTACAGAAGCTGTATGGATGCGCCCATAGCAATCAGATCCTGGTGGAGTGTTCCAGGGAATGGACCAACAGTAAGGTGGCTCTAAATAGATTTGCTCAGGTGGTCCAGGGGTTGGACCTTTAAGAGATGGGAGTGGGCTGGTTCTCCCAACCACTGTATGATGTCCTGCCCTCCTTGCCTCTTCTTTGTCTTCTGCTCTGTGCCTCTTTTCTGGGTGAACATTTCACCCTCACCATTGATATTCTTGAGTTTTGTGACATCTGCTTCTAGATTTATGTGTATGTGGGGGGAGGGGTAAAGAATGGCTTGATTACTTTATGTAGTAAATGCAGGAGGACATTGCTGGTAGATGGAAGCGTATGTCAGAAAAGAAAGCTGACCGTTTGGTGTTGCTGTTGACCTGATAGCAGACATGAATAGATAAGGCTGATCCCTGAAGGAGTCAAGGCTGACCCCTGAAATCCTTGCAAGACTTGTGTCTTGGGCCTTGTATTTCTCTCTGCTGTTTGCAAGCTGGGGTTGCCTATCATGTGAGAGAGAAGCTTCACTATCCTTGTCCAGTAGCAATCTTTAGTTTGCAGCTCAAAGTGACCACAGATAATGGCATATTCTGTAATAGCTTATTCCTGCAGTTTAGCCTTGTTCTGCTTTCACTTTACAGGGCAAATACAGTATATAAGTCATACTTTATAATTCCTTTAATTGTAAGTTTCTGTTGTGTCTGAGTTATAGGGCTTGGTAAGGGATTTTGAGATGTGTTAAGTGGGGAACTGGAAGTATGTAGGGACTGTAGTGATCAGTAGCTTTCTGATATAAAATGGTGCTGATATCTTCATTATATAGTTCCCAGTATATGGGGACTGCCTTGGATCTAAGATGATGGTGGGGTGGGTGGTATGTTCTCCTGAGCGTATCTCAGATAGCAAAGAGGCTTTCGTTTAGTTACTAGTTTTATATGCCATCTTTTCTGTACAGGACCGCAAGGCGGTGTATAGAGTACGCCCTCTTATTTTTTCCCACAACCACCACCCTGTGAGGTGGGTTGGGCTGAGAGAGACCTTCGATGGCTGAGGGGGGACAGGAACCTGGGTCTCCCTGCTCCTAGTTATCTTACCCACCACACCATGCTGGCTCTCACAGTTTTAAGAAAGCATTGTTCTAAGCCATTGGGTCCCAGTCTGATGACACTACTTTCCTTGGCAATTTCATAATTGGCATTTCAAGTGACAAAAAGATACAGGTTTCAACACAAGGAGAATAAAGGCCCAAGGATACATTTATTATCATGGCAGTATTCAGAATTTGAAAACAAGATTTCAGCCTCTGGTAGCTGAGTGTCCTGTGCTGCTAACCTTAAAGTAGCCATTCGTGCTTGGAACTTCAGAGGAAATTCCCCTGAGGAACTGCTGAATTATCCTGATATTCAGTTCTGCCATCTGTAGCCTAAATCAAAATAATATTTTAAATCTCACAATAAGTGTTCATTAGCTTACTATTGCCAGAATGTTTGTGGTAGCAACTCTGCTTTGTAAAGCTATTAACATCTATCATTACTAATATTCCTGTTTTAAGTTAATTAAGCTTAATGTAATTATTATTGTGTTTTCCACCTCCCTAATGTGTGTGCAAGCTTACAGAAATACTTTGTGCATCTGAAGAGATGGAATGTAATTCCAAAAAGTATTGGTGCAACCAATGTGTTAGTTTTATTTAAAAACAAACAGACATGTAGACATTTGTTTCAAATTAGAGAATGAATGTGTTTTTTATTTTTCTGAAGGGAAAGAAAATGTACTAAAGATGGATCCAGGCTGTTCTGCAGAATCCCAGGTACTTGAATATTCTTGGCTCCAGTGCGACCCCAGTTTGTTTTCCAAGATTGATCCAAGTGCGATCCATGCAGTGTTTGGCATATAAGTCTGTTATTGGGCACCCCCTGGAGGGTTGGGTTGAATCCCCCAGGATTCCTCAGCAGAACTTCTTATAGCTCCAGATCTCTATAACAGACTTGTGAGAAGCGACACTCTCCCTTGGCCGGAACATGCCTCCAAAACTGCCCCCCTTCCCCCCACCTTTTTTGCTGTCCCTGTCCCCCTCCAACCATGGTTGTTGACAGTTGGCAACATGCTTTTCTGCCTTGTTAAGGTGGGAAATTCATAAAAACTGCAGACTCACCCCCAAAATAAAGTTGAAATATTGGTTTAATACTATTTGGAAACAAGTCCTTTCCCAAACACTAGATAAAACTAGTGTTTTATTTCAAAAAAGAAGAAGGAAAATCGCAGCTGTGCTGATGTGCATGATCTAGCCCATCTTCTTTCCATCATCGCCCCACTTGCTGCAGCCTTTGAAGCCTTCCAGAATACTTTGTGTGGCCATAGGCCATGAACAAATGGCCCACTCCTGCTATCTCTCTGAGCTGCAGGGTTGCTGCATGCTCTTCCAGTGCTCATAATTTAAATCTGGAAATGAGGATACTATTTTAATATCCAAGTTAGCAAAATAAAGAGGCAATACATTTGTGTTAGTGGAGGAAAGTCCTTCCTAGGTATTATTTCACCTATTTCCTACTTTTTACCCTAATGTGTAGTTGGTGGTCCCTCAAGGCAACAATGTTTTCCATCCTTCTAACCAACATTGGCCTGCCTTTTAATTTGAAAGATCACGGACTTGGGACTGTGTGCATTCAAAAGACCACAGTTGAGCTAGATGGAGGCTCTTCTCCTTTACATAAAAAGCTTTTAAAGTTACTTTTTGTAGAAACCATTGTACGAAACATAGTAAATCCCTCTGTTTTGTTTAAAGCACATACTTGCTTTGGCACCAGCTAATCTTCAGAGCCGCTCCATGGTGAGGCCTTTGGAGCTCCTAAGTCCAACACAGTCTTGCGCCTCAGAGACTGACATGCTCAAGCGAGAGCTGAGCAGCATACGGAGCTGCTATGAGACGGCAAGAGGTGACATAAGCAGGCTTCAGGCAGAGCTGTCCCACAAAACTGCGGAATGCAAAGCCCTGGCATCTGAATGTGAAAGAACGAAGCAGGAGTCAGATCAGCAGATAAAACAGCTGGAAGATGCTTTAAAAGATGTGCAGAAGAGAATGTTTGATTCAGAAGGGAAAGTGAAGCAGATGCAGACACACTTTCTTGCCTTGAAGGATCACCTGACAAATGAAGCTGCTGTAGGTAGCATTAAGGTGACTGAGGAGCTGAAGGATCAATTGAAAGACATGAAGGCTAAGTATGAGGGAGCTTCAGCTGAAGTGGGCAAATTGAGGAATCAGCTGAAGCAGAACGAGCTATTGGTGGAAGAATTCAGAAGAGATGAAGCAAGGTTGGTGGAGGAGAACAAAAAGTTGCAGAAAGGACTTGGCATGTTGAAGGTGGAACGGGAGAAAAGGGAGAGGACTTTCTCTGAGGCAGAAGAGCAGCTGAAGGAAACAGCAGTGAAATTGGCTAACAAATTTGAAAAGATGAAGAGTTCACTGTCCAGTGAAATTGATGAGAAGGACTGGAAGCTAGCAGAGTTGGAGAAAGAGCGTGAAAAGCTGTGCACAGAAGCCCAGCTCCTTAGGACAGAGCTGGAGAAGCAGAAAGCCCAGTTTACTAACTATGTGAGGCCAGAGGAGCACAAGCATGTCAGAAGCAAATATGAGCAAAGGGCCCGTGAGCTTGAGAAGGTGCACTTGGAACTGAAACAGAAAAACCATACTTTGCAGAAGGCAGTAGAAAAGGCTCAGGAGGATCACAGCCTCCTAAAGCAGCAGATGGAGACCCTCAGGGGTGAGGTGAAGACCCAGTATGTTCCTCTGAAGATCAGTGAAGACACAAGGAGAGCAGTGGGAGAGCTGAATAAAAAGCTGGCAGAAACCACTGAAAAATACCACCGGTATAAAGCAGAAACAGAGAAGCTGCTAGCAGAGAAGCGGTGCCTGCAGGAGAAGGTCAGTAAGTTTCAGACAGCTTACATCTCTCCTGAAAAGCACGAGAAGGAAATGGGAGCCTTAAAATCTACCTTGGCAAATTTGCAAAAGCAACTTGATGAATTTAGTAAAAAATACAAAGAAGAGCAGGCCAAAGTTTCTGAACTGGTAACTAAAAACACAGCTCTTCAAAATGTCATGAAGGAGCAGTACGTCTCTTCAGAAACTCATGAAGAGGCCAAATCTGCATTGAATAGCATGCTGGGAAGAACAGGTAAAGAGTTGTCAGATCTGAAGGAGAAGATGGAAGAGGTGAAGCAGGAATATTTGAAAGTAAATGAGGAGAACGGAGCACTGAAACAGAAGTTGAGAGGGCTGCAAAGTCAAATGCAGGCTGAATATCTCAGTACAAAAGACCATGACAGTAAGGTTGCTGCTCTGAATAAAAACATTCAGGACCTTCAGAGAAGCAAGTCTGAAATGCTGGCAAAGTACCAGGAAAAGCAAGAAGAGGTTGCACAATTGCATGCAGAGATTGAAGCCCAGAAAAAGGAGATTGACTTGATTCAGGAATGCATCAAGTCCAAATATGCTCCCCTTGCCAGTTTTGATGAGAAGGAGCGGAACTTTGAGGCAACTGTGATGGAGCTGAAAAATCAGCTACTGGAGCAGGGGGAACAGCTCAGAATAAAGGAGGAAGAAATCAAGAAACACAATCAGGAAAACAAAAAGTTAAGAGCTGGGATCCTGGCTGTCCAAAATGATCTGCAGCAAAACTATATCCTTGCAGAGAAATACCATGAAACGGAGGGGATCTTTGCAAGGAAAATGGACGACCTGAACAAGCAGTTAAGGGAGCTGCAGCAAAAGTTTGCTGAGATCAAGGGAGAGAAGGAGAGGCTTCAAGAGGAGACTGCCAGGCAGCGCTCAGAGGCGCTCCTCATGCAGAGCCGCCTGCAGGGCCAGTACGTGCCTGTGGAGCAGGTGGAGGCCCTGGAGAGAAGGCTCACCTGCACAGTTGAGGAGCTGAAAGGAGAACTTGGCAGCAAGGCAGCAAGGAGTCAGCAAGAGCTGCAGAGAACCCAAGAACTGCAGCAGGAGTTGGCCCATTTAAAAGCCACCTCGGTGCCTCTGGCAGAGCATTCCCAAATCAAAGAAAGGCTAGAGAAGGAAATGGCGGCCCTGCAGTGCAGATGGAGAGAGAAGGAGCAAGAAAGCCAAGCGAGAAGAGAGGAGATCTCCCAGCTGCTCTCTGAGCTTCAGAGCACTAAGCAAGCGCTAAGCAAGCTGGAGAAGAGAGAGGTGGTGGAGGCGTCTGAGCACAAGGTGATGAGAAGCAGGCTAGAAGGCCAAGTCAGCAGCATGGCTGAGAAACTGGCCGAACTGACTAAAAAGAAGGAGAAGATGCAGGAAGAGGCGCTGAAGGCAAAGACAGAGGAGCTGTCCTTGAAGGGTGAGAAGGAGCTGCTTCAACCAAGAAATGTTAACATTGAGCAGGAAATCAAGGACCAGAAAGAGCGGTGTGACAAGTCTCTGAGCACCATTGTGGAGCTGCAGAAAAGGATCCAGGAATCTGCCAAGCAGGTGGAGGCCAAAGATAACAAGGTGAGCCAGAGGAAATGGGGAAGTTGAGCTGCCTGAAGGGAGCCATTCTCTGGAGTGGATTAGAGGCCTCTAAGTAATGCGGAATCATTCACGTCTAGATTTCCTAGGGCGGATTGTGTTCCCTTAAATAGCCGTGCAATGGAGTCACGTGTATGAAACCATTAGATGAGCGTTGCTTATGGCGTCTAGCGCGCATGATTACAAAAGGCTGCATTCATAAACCCCATGCAAGTACTTTATGGAAACCCCCAAAGACACTAAAATGTCAGTAGCTTCCTGAATATCCACCTGTGTCTCATGGACCTTTACAGGGATTTCCAAGTGAGCAAGAAGCTGCACCATCGGGTTTTGTGCTCACATGGAAGCCACCGGATGTGCCAGTATTACATAGATGTTCTTCTGCAGATGCTTGGCTACTTGTGTGGGTGACCTGCATAAACTGATATCATTTATGGAAACCCTGCCTGGACTGTTGCATCTGGTCCTTGAAGGGCTGAGTAGGACTCTACTCTAGTTTAGAATGGTTGTCTAAACCTGCCATTGTTTATTTAATATATTTATTCATTACAGTAGTCATATACTCACCATCCCCACTTAGACTCCTGGTAGCATACATGTAGTCGCTGTAACTCAGCAGCTGGCAAACCTTTCGAGCGCTGGGGGGGCGCTGCCATTTAAAAACAAACGTCATACCCCAAATTTCAAAAGACAGGTATGATTTGTCAGCCTTAATCTTACTCTCAGACTCTCAGGAGTTTGGTTTTCTGACCTGAAGTCTCCCAAGATTTGGGTGGCCTCCCCCCGTCCCTCCCTTCCTTCCGCAGCCAGGATCGGCGTGTAGCAGATTCTTCCGTGCTGGCAGCTGTTAGTGTAGCTGAAACAAAAGAGATGAGAGCTGCTTAGCATGGAAATATCTGCAGTTGTTTCCTGCTTGCTACCCTTTTACATAATGCAAGAATTCAGTGTAAAAATGGGGTCAGCCCTGTTTTATGGGCAAAGCTGAACTTCTGTCCCCTTCTCTTCCAGATGAATGTGCCAGAATACTAGTGGTTGGGTTGCATTCTTGCTCCCTATTTGTGGGCTGGGGGTTGTAGAAGGGCAGGGCTTTTTTGTCTTTTCACCGGAGATTTGGCAATGTTTCTCTTGAAGATAACTGAGCTTCTCAGTGATGTGGAACGGCTCAAACAGGCCCTTCATGACCTCTCCCAGCTTACCCACAATATTCCTGCAAAGAGGCAAAATCCACAGATGGAAGGGCTCCAGGACCAGGTGAAGACTCTGCAGCAGCAGCTGGCTGTAAGTGGGGATCTGTGACATGAGAATTAGTTGAAGTGTGTTAGGAGTGTCCGGGCTTAGAAATGGTGAGAAAAGCACCTTCGAGTCCTTGTATGACGTGCAACTCTGCGCCTCTGCAGAAGAAGCCTGAACGCTGTATGGGATTGCATCACCACTCTTCTGTTAACACTCTCCTTTCCTTTTAAAGAAGATTTCTTGTTTTCTGGCCCTTGTACGCCAGTGCTCTATTTATAAATCTGTGAGCACTAAAATCTCAGGAGGAGTTTCTAGGGATGTCAGAAGCAACGTCAGTCCTTTGTGTAGCATCTCACCTCTCCTCAGCAAGGGTGAAGCTGACCAGCCTGAGCATTTCCTGTAGAAAAATAACAGGGTGTGCCTTTGTTTTAGGATGCTGAGAGGCAGCACCAGGAAGTCATCTCAATATACCGGACACATCTTCTTAGTGCCGTTCAGGTATGTTACGCTCAGGAAGCGTGGGAAGGAGAGGGGAAGGGTCCTTTTGGCCTGTGAAGCTTCTTCCAGGACCGTTGCTCTTATTCTGGGATGTGACTGGAGGGAAATCCCTCCTGTCTCCTCTAAGGCTTAGTCACACCCCAGAATTACTCAGGCAATACAACTTCAGAACAAGAGCGTTCTGAAGAGTCTTAAATGTTGAGTAGCTTACTTTTTTTAAAAAAAGATACCCTCTTAATTTTGCAGGGTCACATGGATGAAGACGTGCAAGCAGCCTTGCTCCAGATCATCCGCATGCGACAGGGACTGGTCTGCTAGGGAACGGGGCTCTTGTCCACCTGTTCAGGCCGCGGGCATATCTGCCGGTTTGTAGCTGGCCTCTCAGTGGTTAGCAGCTGGCAAACACCTCCTCTCTACCTGCTGGTAGCAGGAATGTGGAAAAAAATACGTACACAGACTCATTTTTAAACACAATGAAAAGATCACTCATGATTTGAAAAATAAAAGGGGGGGGTTATTTATAGGTAGTCAAAATGATGACCAAAACGAAGTTCTTCTGGAGGTCGGATTGACAACCCTAAAAGAAAGAAAACCCTGCCCTGCCCAGACATATATCCCTTTCCATCTCCTTGCAAAATATGGCACGTGGACAGATTTCAAGTCCTGAGCCCATGTGCTCAAAGGTGCCTGCATTGTTTGGGGGTGGGGGCTGTGCCAGATTGAGGGGGTCTGTAGCTGCGTCAGACGAGCAACATCCTGGGAATGGCCTCAAGGCTCAGTCTGTGCCCCATGGTGGCTTGGCTGGCCAAGTTGCCTCTGAAGATTTGCTAAAAGTAATGCCTTTTTATTGCTATTTTCATGAGAGAAAAATCCATCAGATAATACTTTGCTTTTTACAAGATACTTTTTCACAGATTCTTTATTACTGATCTATTTGTAGTTTCAAGGACAGCAGGACTGGGATAGATCTATATCTACATAATACCACAGAGAAAGAGAGAGAGAGAGAGAGAGAGAGATGAAAAGCTGTTATACTACCTTGAAATGCAGCAGTCAGATTTGTGTTTGATCATTCATTTTTAAAAAAGAAGAAATAAACTGTTTACTGGTAAGCTAATTAACAACTAAAGTAGTTGAAAAAGTAAAAAAAAACGTTTTTTGGAAAAATATGCAGAAACAGAAGTATGCCTGTGCCTCTTGTGGTGGGCTGGACTGTGCTCTTGGACCCTGGATCCCCGTCTGCAGCCATGTTGCAGACTGGGAAGGGGCGGAAGAAGGGCTCGTGCTTTCCAGACCTCCATGGCTTGCTGAGCTTGGTGTCAAGAAAGGAAGAGCGTCCTCCCAGACAGGGCAGAGGAGCAAGCGCGTCTGTTAAGTTACCCAGTGGACTTCATAATGTTCTTAATCATATTCTGTGAACTGATGGCCATGACTGATAGCTCTGGCTCCTTTAGTCTTTGGGGGGAACGGTGCCTCTGCCATTCAGTGCTCTGCTAAAAGCGGTTCTTGTGAAAGACCCATTCATCTTGTGGAGCCTGGGGAAATTGTTGCTCCTGTTGTGAGGCTTGTGCCTTAGAATTCTTTTGTATTTCAAAAAACGGGCCCCATTTGCTCAAATTCTTTGATTTTATGGTGATTAATAGCAACATCTTAAAATATAGTATTTTGTAAATTATGTATGATAATCCACTACATGGGATATTATTTATGCAGGAAAAGAGTTTTGGTGAGAGAATTAACTTGGCATAGTTGTGATGTTTATAAGAATAAATACTATGCGCTGGAAAGTTGGTATTGGTTTTTTAAGTAACTTTGGGATAGTTGCAAAAGTTCCAAGGTATATGGAGTCCTGGAGTTCTGGAAAAAATCCACCTTTTTACATAGAAATATTAAAAGTGGATTGGTTCAAAAACACCAGTTGCTTAAGCGTCTGAAGTTGAGCATGAACTGTGAACAATCACAAGGCAACATTGTGCTTGTTGGAGGCACTAAGAGAGGATGTTACCCAGGTGGGCTTCTAAGGGTGACTCCTTGATTTGCATAAATTCCTCTTGGCACCAGCATCTGGAGCTGGAGATTCGCTGTTGTGCTGCTTCAGCAGGCTGAAAACTTGATTCTGCTGACCATGATGCTGATCAAACACAAGGGTCTGAACTTCCAGATTTGCAAATAACTGGGCATTTCTGCGCTTTGCCCACTTCCAAAGTGAACCTTCCATGCACAGGAAACTACAGTGTGTTGGGCTACAATGGACTACATGCTCCATTGCCATTTTTCTAGGGATGATGCAGCTGATTGCAAACAGAGGAGAGGAAGTTGGGGAAGGTTAACCTGTGCATAGATTTGGTGGGCTTAGAATGTGTGTGTGTGGGGGTTGTCTTCAAAACTGACAGAACTTTAGAGAATGCCTCTTTTTTGCTTCTCTGGAAGGCTTAGATCAACCAATTCACCAAGTGCTCTTGTTCTTGGCAACTTTCTTTTGAATAACTGAACAATAATTGTCTGGTTTTGATATACTAATACTTAAAGTATTGTAATTTTCTTTTCTCTGGGAGACATGTTATGTATTTCTAGTCTTCCTCTTACACTACATATCAATAAAGCTTTATTTTCTGTGTCACTTCTAAGTGTCCCTTGTGCTTTATTGAAATGTTATGCTGCTATTTTGGGTGGGTGGGCTGGGAATACAGCAGAATAATGGCTGCTTCATTTTTCTGGTTTATAAAAAATAACTCCAAAAACCATGAAATAACTAATACATGAGAGTAAGCAAAAAAGCATTTACGTCTATAAAATCTGCATTCAGATATCACCAAAATAGGCTCACCAAAGAGCTGTTATTCTTGGAGACTGAGCTTCAGTTTGGTTGCCCTCCAATTTTGTTTGGAGTCCTCTGGCCACACCTATAATAAATTAACTTGGAGGTGGATTTTGAGCTTGCTGGAATAGCATGGAAGCTCCTGGAAGACATAGAGGAGCCCACTAAGGTTCTACCCCAAATGCTTCCCTCATTCTTGGGCCCGGGAGGCTGGAGTCCTGGGCTCCATGGCTCAGGGGGCTGTTGGTGGATGCCAGGTCCCTATGCACCAGGAGCACATTTATTCATGACTTGGTTGTGGACTCACAAGGGGACCTGACATGCATAACCCAAACCTTGTTGGGGGGATGTGATCCTGCCAAACTTTGCACTCTTTGGTTTCAGGTGCATCATTGCCCATGACGCCAAGGCCTGGTAGGGGGGTGATGATACTTTGTGACGCCTTGGGTATGGCCAGGGCTTCTATTCCATAGGTTTTGTGTCTTCGTATCTGAAGTTGGACCATAGGGACGGGTTAGGTTCTGACAGATACGCAGTGTGCTGACTACCCAGCTGTTCAGCAGCATCTCTTCCTGAGCTTGTGGAGCTTGAGCTGGATTCTCCATGGCTCTTGATGCTGGGGGAGTCCAGTCTCCATACTTACCAGGGAGGGGGTGTCTGGGATGGAGCACATTGTCTCTTACACACATATTTGTCTCCATGTCTCTCATAGGGGGCCAGATCTCATCTCTCAGAGCTGTTGGTTTGTGAGCTGAAGATGGTGGGTGTGGCTGTTCTTTGCCAGGCTCAAAAGCTTCCTAGTCCATATGCAGCTTATTGCCTTCTGTGGCCCTGCAAGAGTAGGAAGCTGATTAGGATGGCCTGCCCTAAGTGTCTTATGATGTGGTGTGTTTCTAGCAGGCAACTGGGCTTTCTTTTTGTAGAATAAATGATGACCTGGTGTAACATGTCATGTGCTGTTGTTCAGCTGAGGTTGTATTTACTTACTTTTGAGAACTGCTAAGGACCAGATGACTTTTGTTATGTCCTGATACGTAAAACCATGGAACTCAAAAGAGGGTGGACTTTCTTTTTCACATGACTGTATATTGCAGAAATATTCAGTTTTGTTTTTTTATTCCATGTTTAGTTCATCTTCAGTTGTGGGTTAATTAAGAACTACTTTTGTTGATATGTAAATTCTTAAGTAGTGTCTATTCAGATGTTCTTTCATCTTTTCTGCATCAGATGACTATGTACTATATCATTTGGAATAATAGTTAACAAAGTGCTCCTTTATCTCTTTCACTGTGGAAACGTATTTAGTTCCATTTCAGATAGAATAGTTCTTTTGTCCTGTTCCTTATGCAGCTGATAAGGCAACTACTTGTCTGACATTGCCTTTTCAAAGTGTTTCTGTTTAATAAAATTAAACTTTTGGTAAGTCTCATTTACATCCATTAAATCTAGTTGCTTCTATACTGCTTTTATCATTTGTTCTAAATCCAGAATTGGATTGAGTTTATGCCTTGATTCTAATTGTTTCGGCTCGTAAAGCAATATTGTATATTCTGTTTCTGCGTGGCTTTCTTTCTGTTTGATGCCAGAGAGAAAATAAACTTAGCATCCCATATTAGTGGAATAAGCTTTTTAGTTCCTGGTACAGTAATACATCAATTTTAATATCCTCTTGTATTAATAAAAAATCATTATGTTTTTGAACTAGAAGTTCCTTTACCTAGAATTATAATTATTGGATTATAATTTGCATAATTAGGAGCTGCTACTTCCATGTCTATAGCATTGATTAACAGTGAATTAGAAATCCAGCACATCTCTATTCTTGAATAAGTTTTATGGACTGAAGAATAATACTCTCCCTCTCTGGAGAATATTTATATCTCCATATGTCCAAGAAAGATAATGATGACATATAAGCTGAGTTGTGAAAATTTTCCGGTATTCCTTTTGCGTGAAATAGTTTTATCCATCAGTGGGGGATAAAACCTATATGCATCTCCAAGAATTAAGACATCTCCTTCTGTGATTTCAAGGAGTAATTGAAAAAAAATTTCAAAGAACTTTGTTTTATTATCGTTTTGGAGTATAAATTGAGGTAGTTATTTTTTCCTATTTAATCTGAAATTGTAATACTACAAATCTTCTTTCCTCATCTTGGATTTGCTTTTCTAGAGTCCATGGTAATTTTTTCACATATTTTTCACTCCATTTCTTTCTATCTGAGGCCACAAAGTTTTGAGCAAGATGTTTATATTCCAACAGGTTTATATTGTAATTTTTATTGTGTATTTCTTGAAAACATAATAGGAGCTTTTCCCTCTTTTAATTTAAAAAATAGGTTTTCTTCCTTTTTAATGGGCTATTCAGCTCATTAATATTAGTTGAAAGTGTTTTAATTTGATCCATGACAACAATTCTTAGGTTAATTTATTAAATGCTACCTGTTGCTTTGTTCAGTTTTGGATCTTCTGTCCCCTCTTCTGTAACAGATAAAGATTCAAACATTCTGTTAGCATTGTCAATAGAATACACAAGGGCTCTTGTTGTATTCCAACTGATTTCCAGATGAAATGAAGTAGCCCATTTGATCTTTTTATGCTGAGGAACAGTTGTCAAAACTCTCAAATTTCTCTTCTTCCTAAATATATCTAGAGGTACACCTGTCAAAATCTCAATTATTGTATGCCCAATTGTAAAGGAGATTCTCTTGCTTTTAGTTCCAGTATTGCCTGTTTTCCTCCAAGTCCTGCTGTGCTACCTCATCACTGTGTGTGTGTGTGTGTGTGTGTGTGTGTGTTCCTGGGAGGGATGAGTGTATGTCAAGAGCG